TTGGAAATAGTAATTGAAGTACTTCCAACATACATCCATCTGTCTCTTTGCTTGAACGAAGAACGCGTACTCCAGGACACGGGGGCTTTCAAATAAACTGCACAAGGACTCTGGAACCGTGTGAACGTGTAATCAGACGGCGTGACTCCAGCTTTGCGCAATTTTTCAAGCAGCCGTTGTTCTGGCGAAGTACCCCTGGAGTAATGGAACAGTAGAATCAGATGACAAAAACCTTGCAACCAAATGGCCATCACTTTGTCCACATGCGGAATGAACTGAAGCACAAACGACATGAACTTGCCAACCTCTGTAATAAGAACATGTGCTGACCGAATCTCCTTTGCGGAGAGTTGATTGGAAGCAAGGCTGTGTGCAATTCAGACAACCTGAAAGGCTGCTGCTGCGATGCACGTAGAGAGACTCTTGATACCCATCCTAGATGCAAAAGTCGCCGAGATCCCGAATTTTACTGCAAGTTCTTGCAGTTTTGCTTTCTCCTTGCCTCCGTAGTTGATCTGCACAAGCTTGGAGACAGACGCAATGTGTTCTTGAAAATCGACAAAGCGCTTTCCTAGGGGTCGTTTGAAGCTCTGGATCCACTTGTCGACGTCCCCCTCTCCTGATCCCTTTAGTCGGGCTTTGTGATCATTCAGGGCTTCTGCAGGAACACTGTCGATCTTACGCTTGAGGTCACTCTCCCAAGTCTGCGGTGGTGTCACGGATTGTGGACACGGAGCACTAGATTGCGAGGCAACCGGGAGCTGTGTTTTCAAAGCGGGTTTCGTGGGGGTAACGGGAAGTCCTGCGGCTTGTAACTGTTCACGGCGGCGATTGAGCTCTTCCGTAACTTGAAGAAACTTCTGAGATTGATCGACGCCTGCAGACACCGGCATGTTGTCAAACATGAGCTGAACGATCTTGTCAACCATCGGCTGAAACAGAGCTGCACAATCCGTGTTCTTGTTGGGAATGATTGTAGATGGATTAGCGGCCTGAAAGAGATGCGTAGCAACTGCATCGATGTCAACTTTGCGATCTCGAAGGTTCTTCGTCACTTGCGACATGAACACTGCTTCGGCAACCGTAGCAACTGGCACAACACTGAAAAACTTGCCATGACTCAATGCTCGAAGACGCCAATCTGAGACTCCATGAAACAGGAATTCCTGAACAGGAATGCTGAGTGGGTCTTTTCCTGCGATCCCTTTCTTCCGCGACCACGGGGTGGCTTCGATGGACTTACGAAAGGACAACCCATGAAGCACCGTTGAATCATAATGATCACGATCTGACGCCCATCCATTCGGTAGTGCAGGAACAGGACCAGGACCTTGATGACATGGCATGGGAGTAGACGGCGAAGATGAAGGTGCCGAAGAGAGAGGAGGCGGAGGTAGTGGAGGTGGCTGACTAGCAGGTGCAGACTTGGGGAGGTTGGGATCAGTCCAACTTCCCGAGTTATACGGCTGATAGCGGTGCTGACCCCACGATTGCTGGGACCTCCCGTACCCTGTGCTGTTGTCCCACTGCCCATTCCATGCCATGGTTTCAGATCTATCAACAAATCTGAATACGCGGAATCACTAACGACACTTCGAATCAAAAGGCTGCAACTCAAGACGGCTCATGAAGAAACTCTTGCACATCCCTTGCACGTCACTTGCACGTCCCATGCATAAACTCTTGCACATCCCTTGCACGTCACTTGCTCTTCTCACTTGCAGTACACTTGCACGTCCCTCAGGTGACAACGGAAGAGACTTGAAGACGTGGCCGGTCAAAGCAGCATGTTGCACTCAGACCCTCCAAAAAACAAGAAGCGCTTCCGGGATGAAACATGAAGAGCGAAAGACCCATCTGCCATCTTTGGCACGGGCAGCATCACGAATGTAGCTGCAGGAATGGTCACCTTCGACCCCTCCCATGGGGATTCTTGAATGGGGAGGTGTGAGGGATCCTTGACGATTAAATGCATGTCCGAAAATGCACACCGGACGCTCACTCAGAATGCCACCGTACTTGGCCGCTGCCTCTTGTGCTTGTTCTGCATCTCTAGTGTGAGCCCTAGCATAGAAGGAAATTGGTGGGGACCACTTGCTGTCACTAGCATCCCACCAAGAAGGTCGGATCGCTCCCTCAAGAAGGATTGATGCAGCCGCTGCCACTGTTGTGTTGTGTGCAACAGGAGAACGAGCAATCCCTGCTGCAGAAGCATGCGACCTGATCATGGTCTTCTCAAAGTGGGTGAAGTGGATGCTCAAGCACTTGCACGAACTCGACAAAGAACGAAGCTCCACAGAATGAATGTTTGCGGCTTGGTCAGCTGCTGCAATTGCCTGAGAGACATACTTCAATGCTGTCGAATTGACAGCGTGGGGAGGAAGACCTAACAGGCTGATCAGATAGTCCGCCGTGCTTTGCATCAGAGAGCTGGGAACCTGCAACTCAAGATTGGCCGGTATCTTTGCCGAAATCTCACATGCCGATTTCATACGGCCAGGGCTGGAACTGATCAAGTGACGTAGAGCAGTAAACATGGGGTATAATGCGACCCAATTGAAGCTAGATGAATACACGCGTATCAGCTTCGCTTCTTCATCTCGCACTTCCAACCCACGAAGTTCAGGAATCACGAAGAAGTTTGAATCTTGCTCCCACTCAACTTCCACATGCCCTTTGAGAAGAGATCGATTCTCAAAATGCTCATACGAATCTTGCAAAGGTCTAACTCGAAAGACGTAAGTCTGGTCCGCACTGAGCTGCCACCCTACGCGATCTGCATGAGTACCAGGAATCTGATCACAAATTGCACGAAGTCGAATGCTGTTAGGATCTGCAACGAGAGAAACTTCACTTCCAGGAACTTGCAGAGGCCCGCTTTGTTGGCTGGGCTGCATCATCCGTTTGATACGTGATGGCTGACTGCTGGCTCTGAACAGATGCTGTTGACTGATTCCGTTGAGAAACAACAGACTGCTGAATGTCAAGCAAATTGTTGAGGCCAGCATACACATCTCTGTGGCCTCGGACATGTGTCAAGTTTGCTGCCATAATCGCTGAGTATTCAGCGAAATCAGCCACCGAACGAAACGACAACCGGAAACCTGTGCCGTCTGCATGAAGAGTGATTGCAGGGGGAACCTCTTGCTGCGGAATCTGCCGATCATTTACAGGACGTGCAGCAATCAAAGTAGGAGTTACATCTGTAGCTCTCGCTCCAACATCGGATGCAGAAGGGACCGGCAAAGAAGAAGATGAGGCAGGCGCTGGGCAGACTGCAAGAGTGGGGGGTGGCGGGGGGAAGGCGGGAGGGGGAAGGGGAGGGGGGGGTGGAATCCACTTCGCTGTGGTACCACGGGCGGGGGCAGGGGCGGAAGTGGGAGGGGGAGGCACAGGGAGATGGGGGAAGGGGGAGGATGGAGGGGGAGGAGGAGGTGGGGGAGGAGGGGGAGGGTTGATGTGCGGGTACTGCGTCTCTTTCCTGAAGAATCCATGGCAAACTGATCAGCAACTACTCAGAAGTACAGCTCAGAAACTCGATTTGTAGCCAAAGACCTGCGACAAGTCAGCGAAAAAGTCAGATTCGGGAAAGTCGATTTGATCATAGACAGTCAATGAGAAAGTCAGCATTCAGGTTTCGGTAGAAGCATTCGGTGAAGACTCATTGAGAAAGTCAGCTTGCAAGCATGGATATAGAATCAGGGAAAGTCATCCAATGCTTATACAGTCAATCGGGAAAGTCAACGCCAGAGCTACCTCTGGGAGACACGGCGCCCATAGGGAATGCCGTTGTGAAGCACACTTGACACATCGTGTCGCAGGTCTCGAATCACACTCTCAAAGTCAGAAGAGTCAGCTGCTTGAAGTTACTCGATCTTGTCATTTCGGCCAACTGTGAAACAACAGCATCTTTGGGGTATTTCGGGCGGCCGTTATGCAGGTACGTCACAGGAACGTCTTCCCGTGATATCACAAGCAAACTGGAGCGTCTTCGTTGGTGCAAGACTCCAGAATGCTTCTTGCACCCCCTGCATGATACACAATCGACCCTTCGGAACAGGGATGGACACACACACACACACACACAGACACACACACAGACACACACACAGACACACACACACACACACACATGTAATATGTAGAGCCGGACACAGTTTCGTTTGTAATTAATGTTGGCCTGCTCAAGGGAAAGTGGCTTGACCAGCGTGACTTACACAGCCTGGAATTCGGGGCGACATTCACTCCTCGCTCTGAGGAAACTCAAAATCCTGGTGCAAGCGATGGCGGACTTGGACGAGGACATGGGCTTTGGCTTCGCCATTTGACCATAACACAGATGCCGACACTGCTCGAAGCGGGAATTAGAACGTTCGGACGGACGTCTCAATCTGTAGCTTCTCTGCTTCAACTTCCAAAGCAAGCTGAGTTCACAACTCGTAACCTCAACACGGCGTAGCTCCGATTGCGAGCTCACAGTCAGGACTGAAGCCAAATCGCCAAGCCATGGAAATCTCTCGCTCGGAAAGATGCAAATTGAACGTTTTTGACCCTAAGCTTCAGCAATTTCCGTCTATAAACAGGTTTATGCTAATTTGACTTCATGCTAGTCTTAAGGCCCCTCTGTTATCCGTTTTTTTCGGGTCTCAGGCTCAAGCTCGCTGAATGCATGAGATGTCATAGCTCGAGAATAATCCCACCAGCGAAACACAAGTAAACGCTCATCCATGGCTCGGGCTTTTCGCTGTTTAGTCTGCGCTGCGCTTAAAATCTTCCGCCCTCTCTGGTCAAACCTTCGGCACTGGGCAAAGCTTGAATATCGAAGAGCCATGTGCCCGTAGAATCCTGGCTCAAATCGGTCTTGGTCGCTGAACTGATCTGCAGAAACCCGTAGAACTAAAATGGCTAAAAGTACGCTTCTAGAAGAGTTGTTAAGGCCTAAGGCTTTTGGGGTATATAGGGTGGCTGGGGTTCAGCCAACGTCGTGGCTTTCTTCGGACATGCGCCGTGCTTTGAAGAGAAGTGGGTTGGAAGATGGGGCTACTACGCTGATGATGCGGCGTTTGCCGGAAGATTGGGATGCACAGAGGATCTTGGAATGGCTGCGAGACAACAAGATCCAGCTCAGCCAGATAGACTTTCTTTATGTTCCTTTCGATAAGCGCACAGACTGCAACATCGAGCTTGCTTTCATCAATTTCCTTGACCACTCTTCCGCCAAAAAAGCCTACAGTCTCGTGGTGAGGCAGAACAGGGACCATGTCTTCGATGCCGTAGTCAATACTGGAAACATCCAGGGACTCGCATGGAATCTGGCTTACTTCTTGGCACGTTTTGGCTTTCGAGCCATCTGGGACAAGGATGCACCGCTCGTATTCAGGAACGGCATCCAGCTCCAGGGGGAGGAGATCTCAAAGGTCTATGCATCTTAGGGGTACTTAGAAATAATTTTGAATTTTTGGCTATTATAATCCCTAAGGATCAGCTAAAATCAAAAAAAGGTTCAGAGTTCAGTACAGGCATCTCTTCCCGATGACATCGTCGAGGAAGCCGCCAGGTTCGTCCGCGCTGAGCTTGGCACGTCGCCCCATGGCAGCCGGCGCCGTGCGCAACAGTTGACCTGGAAGCTCGGAGAGGACTCCGAGGCACGAGTCATAGGAGGCCAAAGGAGGTTTTAGCCTATGGGGATTTAGTAGGGATTAGGGTCCCCATAATAGGGTTCATATTAAGGAATCCCTGCCCCAAGAATCTTAAATCCCTCTTTTGGCCTCTCACAAACGAGAGTCCGAGGTCTCCCTCTCTCCAACCTTTGCCATGGGGACGAATGTCGTCCAGATGCTGGGCTTTGGAGTGCCATACTTTCATACTTTTTTGGGACCTGTTACTTAAAGGGAACCAACTATGAAATAAAAGTCTATACTCTTTTCTCCCTGGTTGCTTCAAAGCCCAGGATGGGTCTAGATGGCAGTGAGGAAGAGCTGTTGGCGCTTCTGCAAGAAGTGCAGACTGGCGCTTGGCTGTTTAATCTGTGAAACGACCTTGTCCGTCCTGATATAGGCTTGAAACATATAAGAACATTCACGTTGCAGGAAGCTTGCCTTTGGCTTGAACAGGGCTGGACAAAGTGGACTTTCGGGCGCGTTATGCTGCGCCCGCAGCCGAGTGACGTTGGTTTGTGCAGACCTTGCGTCGCGGTCGCAGTGGGAAGAAGCGTACCCTGGGCCCTGGGCCGCCAACATTAAAGGTTTCCACAGCAGTGGTGTGCAACAGAATGCGCAAGCTAGTTACTTCTAGATGATGCTTCTGTGCCCACATGTCATGTCACATCTCCGCTGAAGTCGCTTCAGACGAACAGCGAGGTAGCACCATGATGTGAGTTGCAAGATTCAATGCCCTCAGTTGCAGCATGGTTCAGCTGCTTCGGCAGCAGTATTAGTCTCACCGTGGGCATCAATGTTATGCTGCAGTTCCATCATTACTCGTCCGTCTCGCGGCCATCTGTGCCAGGTGTCAGTGCCCATAAGACCTTTGATTTGATGAGCAATGGTTGCTGGTTACTGTGTTGCATGGTTCAGTCCCTGCTTTCATCCACGAAGATGGGAGGCATAAACAGGAAATAGGCAACTCCGCGCCCATCATACCATGGGGATACAAGTCGTCCAAATGGGTTTAGGTAGCAGTTACGAAGATCTGTTGGCAATAGGCAATTGTACAGCTGCAGACTAGAGCTTGGTTGTTTAGCTTGTCTGTCATGGTTTGAACTAGAGCTTGTTTTTTGGCATACGTCCTCGGCACAGCCATGCGAGCTCGATTTCTGGCTCGCATACTAGTAGACGTATCCTGGGCTCGTAGTGATGTTATTTCTGTGATCATGACGATTGTAATATCTTGCATAAGTACATAAAGTCTCCTCGCCAGTGGCTCCTGCAGCAGAATGTGTTTCGGCAGATTGGGTCAAATCCTGTCTTGGAAATGACATCACATTCGAGGCTCAGGTACAACCATGTGAGCTTCACCACGCTTCGTGTCTTGCAATAGACATTTCAAGGAAGGCGGATCTTCGGAAGCGCTTTCCAGAGCATAAAGCAGCCGAAGTTAAGGTTGACTTGAATCTTGAACCCTAAACCCTAAACCAAAACCTTAAACCCAAACTGATCTGCTTGTGTACCACCGACTTCAGGCTGTGACTTGCAGCAGCCCCTGGCTCCAGCGATGTTGTCTGCGCCACCCCGCACAGGGGTTGCTGTGTATATGACGTCTCCGCACTATTGGCGCATCGCACAGGATATGCTATTCCCAAAGGGTCCTAGCTACTGTCATGGGGGATACTTCCCCAAATCATAATGGTAATTCCTCATATAGAAACCCTACATTCTACTTTCTACTATACGGGTACTTTGGCCCCTCTGGGATTGTGTGCCGGGGTAGGCTTGTTCTTTTCCAGCCGCACGAGGAGCAGGATGCCCCCGCGCAGTTGCATGTTTCAGATGTGTGTGACCCTGCTGCTTATGCAGGACGCTTTTTTTGATCCCACTATAGTTGTGTTGCCGATATCGAGCCCATGCCTCTGCATGAGCTCTCCTATCAAGCGGGCTTGGCCGTTGCTGCGTTACCAAAGCACCCATTAACGTACGTGGTTGCCATGTTAGTGTTGTCGTGCTTGTTTCACAGTGATATAGATCAAGGCAAACATGATTCATCACATAGGGGCCTTACGGTAATAATTCGAAAAGGGTTTGGGGTAATTCTACTACAATGAGAATAAGAACCCACTAAAATGATATTGGTCATTATTTGGGCCCTTACATTAGAACCCATGAAGGGACCGAGCAGACGGCCAGACCTCAGTTCGCATGTAGAATGGACGTTTTCTGCCTTTCGTCCCACTTGATCACCGACCCTTCAGAAAGTCATGGTCGTGACGACTTGTTGGCCAGAGGCTGCAAGATCTATTCGTGTTGGTGGCAGACACAAATTGCAGATTTGTCGGGGAGCTCTGATTATGAGCTTGAAAATGGAACTTCAAGGGACCTTACAAAAGTAAAGAGTAGGTTTGGGTAGGTTAGGGTACAGAGTCCCTGGACGTGTCGACAATGTCTCGTCACCTGCGGAGTCAGTCCTGGAAACTTGGCATGAATGAGCAAAAAGTCAGGCACGTCCTGCAAGCGATTGAAGCAGCGCATCCATCCATCCCTCCGTCCGTCCGTCCATCCCTCCCTCCCTCCGTCTATCCCTCCCTCCATCCATCCATCCATTCAGACCTGGTCCTATGTATTTCGGGGGGACCGGCACGTCTCCGAAATAAATTCCTTCGGTCTGGAAATGTATTTCCGGAGGCTTCGCTAACAGCGAAGATCCAAGGGTTTCCCTGGGCGTTGATTTCTCATCTAAGTGTCAGGTGGGGATAAACCCACTGAGCAACCTACTACATAAAATCGAAGCATCGTCAAACAATTGAGTAGCCCACTACATAAATAGCGATGCATCGCCTGTTTCGTCCTTAACTTGAAACTGTTGGCACGTCCATAACCCCTGTGAAATACATTTCTCGTCCCTGTTGCTTCCCCAGGAAACAATGCATGAATTGAGGCCCCCCAAAAATCAAAAGGAAATGTGTTAGGACTGGGTTTCATCCATCCATCCATGCATCAATCCACGCAACCCTTTTATTTTTTCTGTGTACCCTTCTATCAACTCGTCGTCTATTAATCTCGTTGTCAACGCTCCGGCTATCTCTTCCATAGACCGATTTACTGTTAGACCGCAGTGTTATATTGGAATTTACTGTTATATTGTTTGGAGGGAGAGGGAGGGAGGGAGAGAGAGAGAGAGAGAGAGAGAGAGAGAGAGAGGCGGTCGCGTAAGGCATCGGCGGAGAAGCAACATATTGTAGTGTCTCCCAAGAGCAAATCTATACCAATCTCTATCTGTTGCAGACGTTTACTCTCTTGCTCGTAAAGGGGGTTACTACATATGGAGCACGCGTCCTTGGAGAGTGTACGATCCTGGCATTCCGTTATCGTATACTTTAAGGCTTTAGCTTACGCCATAATCTACACTCGACTTTCACTCCCCTCGTCCCGATAACACATCGGGTGGGTAAGCTGCCCGGGGGCTTTGACCGGCCCCCATGCCCGAGAGAAAGAGATAGAGAGAGATAGGCAGAGAGACAGAAGGAGTGAGAAGAAGAGGGAGTCTTCTTGGTTTTCCATGCAAGCATCTGCTTCTCTGTGAAGAGTAAACCTGAATCCGACATGATGCATCTATCCGATGAGGGCCAGTCCGACTGTTGAGTGTTGCGTGCGCAAATCCGATCCTATCCGCAGGATGCGCGAGCAGAGCAGGCTTTCCGCGAAGAGACATTCCCCGAGGAGGTGGCAGCTTCTTGTTGGCTCAGAGTCTACCCTCAGGCTCCACAGTAGTTCCTTTTTAGGATTACCTTATAGGATTCTAAATATGAGCCCTAAAAGGAACTACTATGGAGCCTTTGGGTAGAGCCCAGAGACTCCCATATCCCTTTAAGGAATATTCCTTAAATCATATTAGGGATCCTGCTATATTTTAAAGTATATTCCTTAATTAAGGGATATTGGAGTCTCTGCGAGCTTGTTGGGGAGTATTGGGGCTGCGTGCCATTACGTACCCCAAAGACCCCAGCGCTTTTGTATCTTGTCGTTGTATGTCTTCGATTCCCAAGCGCCCTTACAGCTTTACGGCCACTCACAACAATTCCCCAACCGTAAACCCTAAGCTAAAAACCCACGTCACCTTTTTCCTTCGTATTTCAAGTTTAGGTAGGGTGATGGTAGTTGTTGGTCCTTTAGTGGATGCCTAGAAAGCTTGCCGTGGGATCTTAAGAGGCTTGCGGTTGAATTAGCCTGTCAGAGTCTAGAGTCTAGGCGCGGTGTCTAGGGTTTTTGGTTTTGGAATGGTCGTCATGCTCTCAGCTACGGAGCATTAAGCCAATGAGGGAACCTGAATGTTTTGGTGTCAAATGCCTGGAATTTAAGGTTTGTGCCAAGGGCTAAGAGGATTACAAACTGAGGGGAAGGAGCCGTGTCTGCACAAATGCCGAACTTTTGGGTTGAAGCACGTTCTAAGATTCTACAGGGTTTAGGGTTCAGGGGATGGGGTTTGGCGTGAACTTGACGGCCTCGGTTCAGGGTTGATGTCCAACCTTTCGCAAGTTGCCTCGCCTTAGCTGGACAGGCAGCCGAGCATGCAGCTAGCATCGTTTGCGAGCCGTCTCCGCAGAATGCGCCGGAGCTGGTAGAGGTTGTGTCCTAAACTTGGTTTCAAGACCACGGCTGGTTTCTTTATATGCAGCCAGAAGCTCCAGCGATGCTTTTGAAGCTTCGTTGGGTACATCCTTAAGACGATGCTGTTCAAGCTAGAGCAGGAAGCCACGAGCCGTCGGTCGCTATAGGTCAGTGCCAAGCCCTTCGTCACTTCTGTATATACGAGATCCGACTGGAGAGCAGCTTGCGACAGCGATGGCGGGAACGAAAACGAAGCAAGAGATTGCCGAAGATCGTGCGCAAGGTTCTTTTGACTGGCTTCAGACAGAAAGGGTTTTAGAGTTTTGTGGAAGCATGTCCACATTCCTCTACGATGCATGTCCAGATGCCGGGGTTGCAAATTCGGGTTGTGTGTAGCAGCCAACTCTTCCGTTGGCAATGGCGAATTGGCACGGTCATTGGAGATTCTAGCCGCAACTTTCGCCGGATGACTGCGTGGCTAATCACGGATACTTGCAGTTGTTCGGGGCAAGAGCTGGTCTCCTCGCATCCGCGTAGTTAGACCGGTCGCATCTTGACATATCTTGACCTCAGTAATAATAATAATAATAATGGTAGTAGTAGTAGTAATAATAATAATCATAATAATAATGGTAATGATGCTTCTCACGTGATGGGAAGCCGATGTTTTGGACTTTTACGGTCCATGTCATCGTGCTTGCCCTTCGCTCCACCGGCCGTGCCCCGTGCCCCCTGCGCTCACAATCATGCAAGCCTAGAGTCGATAATATAGTATAATACTATACTATAATATAGTATAATATAATATAATATGATATAATACAATATAAAGAATGGTAGTCTATAAGGGACTTTGTTTCACTTATGAATGTGACGGGTTCGTTTGGCTGACAAAGCATTCAAGAAGGTTCGTCTGTCACACAACTCGCCAATGGCAGATGCAGAAATGTTCGGAAGCCCTTCTTGTCTCTAACGGCGTCGCTAGTGCTGTAGTTGTTCGGCTCTGTCGGTTGTTTCACCTCAAAAACCCGGGTGGCATATGCTGCTGTGCTATCCCCAATGGGCGGAGCGCACTCAGGATCTGTTGTCAGCAAGAGTTTCTTTGTAGCTCTCTTGCGCCGAGGCCAGTGACGACGAGATGGGGGTTCAGGCAAGTCGCAGTCTACCTTAACCTACCAAACCCTACTTCTTTGTATGTTCTTAATACAAACCCTAATATGGAATTTGTGCGGACCCTACAAAAAAGTAGCTTTTGGCAGGTTAAGGTATGGCTGCATGACATCCGAAGCATCAGCCCTGTGCCCCTGGCCCCGAACTCCTCAACTCTAATTCTTGAACTGTTCGAGCGTGAGTGCTAAAAACCCCGAACTCCTAAATCCTAAGCTCTAAACGCTGAATTGCTGAATCCGATGCCCTTACGCACATCCTGATAAGCCTCAGCCATTGGTTGGTAATCACTTCCACCTCTTATTAACACCCCCCGCAAAACTAAACACACTTTTCTGATAAACCTGCAATGAAATCAATCCCGCGTTTCGCAACCGAATCTTTTATTTTATAGGACAGGGGTGGTTCAGGGGCAAGTCTAAACCCTTAACCCGAAGAGTGAGACCAAGCCCAAAAGGGAGATTCCCGGAAAGTCACCCTGCGGAGAACACCTGCCTCACATCAAAGCCACTTCTCGAGTTTCTGTTTGGGGGGTTCCCTCCTGCTGATGTTATACGAAAGGATAAGACTTCCGAACCTCCTGGATGTTGAAAACTAAAGGTTTAAGGTACGAGGAAAGTCATGCCACGGTCTTGGTCTGCTGCAGTAGCCGCTGTCTTAGTCCTATGTATGTATGCATGTATGCATGCGTGTATGTACATATGTACGGATGTATGTATGTATGTAAGTATGTGTGTATGTACATCCGTGCATACATACATACATAGATATTCATGCATGCAGGCATGCAGGCATGCAAAAATACGCAGACACATGCATTTATTATACATATTGTAACAAAACATACAAGTACACATGCTCCGACGCATACACAAAACAAACATACATGCATACATACTTACTTACATACATACATACGTACATACATACATACATACACACACATAGAAATACGCACACACACAGTTATATAAAAACATATATATATATATATGTATGTATATGTATATGTATATGTATATGTATCTGTATATGTATATGTATATGTATATGTATATGTATATGTATATGTATATGTATATGTATATGTATATGTATATGTATATGTGTATGTGTATGTGTATGTATATGTATATGTATATGTATATGTATATGTATATGTATATGTATATGTATATGTATGTATGTATGTGCGCATGTTCATACATATAAACAAAATCTTAGGCTGTCGGCTTGCAGCATGGTATGCGAAACAGAGACACACCAGGTGGAGACACTCCCACCGCAGCTGAACAGCCAGGCCTTGCATGAGACAAGCCCCATCTAGTGTGGAGTGATGTGACAATTCCTGTTTAGGGCCCGGGGTTCAGCTGAGAAGCAACGAGAGTGGGTCTAGGAGCAGGTGACACGGGAAGCCAGCATAAAATCAGGAGTTGCTCGTGCAAAGAGTTGTCTTTCGAATCCGTCCCCTCTTCTCAAGATGTGTTTGTCAAGGGCACTTATGAGAGAACCGAAGGTATCGCAATAATTTCACACAGTGTTGAGGTGTGCTCAGGAGGTCCTCAGATGCCTTGAGACAGGACCAGGTGCTTTGTGTACAAGCTTAGCTCTGCTACCTGCCTTGTCCACCTAGGCACGAAGAACATTCCGTTCAGGGTTCCTCATTTTGCCATTCTACGATACAACATAGCAATATTCACCTACCTTCAATGCCCTGTTCCAACTGTTCAGGCTGCTAGAGTGTGGGTTTCGGCCCGTTCCGGCTTGAACCTTGCGAGATTTCAGTCAAAGTACTATAGGGGCCTTTATAGATAGAAAAAGTTTTGGGGGCCAATCATGATTTTGATTAGGAACACCCAAAATAGTATTGGTAATTATTTAGACCCCGATATTGATTGAATCATGAGCAGTGCTATTCCTCAAGGATTCTCGGGAAGCCGAGAAACCGTTCGTCAGGCCTTTTGAATAAAGAGCTACTCGGACAGTTTCGGGCTCTGGCACGGGTAAGGGTTGAGATTTAGGGCTTGTAGGGTTTAGGGTTTTCGTCGGCTTCCAAGATTTCACTATGGTCTCCAGGTGTCCGTGCCCACAGAGGAAGCTGATGTGCCGGCAGAAGATACTGAATTCAAGGACATGGTTCAAGAGTTGCCGGAGCCCATAAATTATTTCGTAGCCTCCAGGGTTCATGGTGTGATCTTTGTGCAGCCACTGCGTGGCGGATGTATCTACGTGTAGGAAGTCCTTCCAAGGAGGACAATACTATCTTTTGTGTTGCCTGACTGGGCTCGTTCCCATAAACACGTTAAACGGTGATATCTGGGATCGGCGCAGAGGGGAGACGAATTGAGTAGACCAAGCGGCGGCAAGAGGTTGGCTTGCAGTCGGGCATGCATTGACTTCAATTGACCCTAGTCTTAAAGGAACCCTCATACAGAACCCTTATGGGGCCCGAAAGTGGCTCTGGGAACGACCTTGCACCCCAAAAAACCTTCGGAGCGGTCTGAACGAGCAGGTTTGAACCTTGTTCAGGGTGGCATGTTTTGGTTTTTGTTGTTAATGGTTTTTGGGGAAACCCTCCTAAACCCGGAGCCCTAAGGCAGAGTCAGGCAGAGAGTTGACGCCCGGAAGCACCGGCAGATCTTTCCGGCCTAGGGTTTAGGGTTTAGGTTCCCGCGCAACTACCAGGCGTCCTTGCAAGCAAGGCTGCAGCAAAAGGTCCCCCGCGCAGTGAAGCTGCTAGGGCTGCGAAGTGGAAAGCCTGTTGCAAAAGGGTTCCCGAGCACAAAGTGGAAATGTGGAAATGGCCAGCCTGGTTTCGAGTGTCTGGCAGAGATATGACCTATTCGTGTAGCATACATACATGCATACGCACATATATGTATGTATGTATGTATGTATGTACGTACGTACGTACGTATGTATGTATGTATGTGTGTGTATGCATGTATGTATGTATGTATGTATGTGAATATGCACATGAAATGTTCACAGCTTTAGATAAATTCAGGTATCTCCTTCACTCCCTGTATTTGTCAAGTATATCCTTCGAGTCTGTTGCGTCGTGCTTCGACAACTGCTCACATCAACATGGGGGCCTGCCTTAAGATTTAGAATACGGTGTTGGGCTATAGTGTATTCCATGGCTATATTACAACCGGGATAGATGAGGAACAACACAACTTTGTCCCTAGGCTCGGCCGCAGAATTTTGCAGGGTTTAGGGTTTGGAACCCACCAAGAGGGGAAATGGAAGGCCAAGCGGAGTTCCTCACGAGGGTAAGTTTTTGAGTATCCCTGCAAGAACATTAGGGGATCTTGCTACGATTTGGTCTGCAGAAGTAAGCTTTAAAGTCCCAAGGTAGTTATTTAAAACCTTGTGTCCTTTTTTCGTCCGGCACCCCAAGTTTACGGTTGATGATATAAATCCTGCATTATCCATAATAAGGAGTATACCATAATTCCCATAGTTCAGGGCCTTTAAGGTAATGCAGGATTTGTATCATCAACCGTAGTAGGCAAAGCTGTGCAGGATCTGGTGCCTGAAGTCGATGCAGATGGAGTGGATAGCCACAAGGCCCGTGGTTTTTGGTTTGGTGTGCATTTTAGGGTTTTGGGGTTTAAGTGCGCTGATAACCCGGCAACACCACAGGAGGCCTGGATGCAAAAAAGGGTTCAGGGCGCTTTAGGGTTTCGTCGACAGGGTGTTGCCATTCGAGCAGCGCATCAACCTCCAGAAGCACTTCTGAGGGACCTATCCGGGTCCGTTATTCCTGTGAAGGGATCGACAAGCTGGGTTGTGCTTTGGGATAATTTTTAATTTCCCTTATTTCCTCATAAAGGGAACCGGTTCATAATTAATTTT